ATTTCTTTTTTTATCTGACAAGAGTTTTTTAAACTAAGAGGCAAGGTTATTTTCCGTTCGCCAGAGCCTATTCATTTGCGGTGTGGGTGTGAATGGGAAATGTTATTTATTGCACACACACTTACACAGAGTTTTGCTTATTTAGATGGAGTTATAGAGAGATCCTCCCACGTCAAGAAACTGAAAGGAAGGCCTCAGACATTTTGAAGTAAATGCAAAAAAAGTGCTTCTATTCTGTAGCCCAAATTAGTCTGCTGAACTAAATCTTCCTATTGGCAACATCCCTTGTTTAGTATTAACTCACCTAATATATTTGAATTTTTCAGAGGTTGTGGGATGAAATGACAACAACTTTAACTGAAATTAATTCTTTGAAAATTTCTTCATATTTTCCAATGTAACAAATATGTAGTTGTAATTAACGTGACTTTTCATTCTTATTGAAATTTTGCTGACGTGACTCAATACCAGTTCAGCTGGGTGACATACATAAGTGTATTTTAATATAACCTTTCCAGTGATGATAACTTATTCAATGATACACAAAAGTTGGAGGTTCTCCCCGGGGCAATCAGCAGCGTCTGGAGACAGTCTGGGTTGGCGAGAGTGGGGAGGGGCTGCTGCCGGCATCTGGCCCAGGGGCACTGTGAAGGCCGCGAGCAATTCCCAGGGCAAAGAATGACATGGCTCTAGGAGACAAAAGTGCTGACATTGAGCACTGAAAATCCCTGGTACAACTATGACCCCAGAGCTCGGGGTTCCAGTGGAAGATGGAATCACTCGGCGGAGGGGCCTGCCTTTTGGAGGGAAGCCTACTTAGCGCGGAGGCGTTCAGGGAGTAGTTATTCAGCGAGTAGTTGGCCTTGTGTGGCAGATGCTCAGAAAAGCCTACTCTGTAAATGACGGCGAATACCCTTCCCTGGCACCCTACCACAAGGATTGTTTATAGTACCTTTATTTTAAGAAAAAAGGTAACATGCTATGTATTCTGAAAATTATAAACTTCTAAAAATCACCTGTTCTCATTAAATGTTCTTCCTTTAGTAATTTCATGGCAAACATGCAATTTCATCTCATCGCCATGGAACTCTGTGTCCCATTTTAGCAGCTCTTACCCTTGACATGCCATCTCCTCCTTCTCTAATCATCACTTTCCACATCCTGGGCAGGATGTGGAAATAAATAAAATTAAAGAGATTAATTTCAGTCTTGGAAAAGATGCCATAGCCTGCAAAACTGTGCAGTGCCCTGGAGCTCCAGTCCAGAGGCAAACACATGAAGCAACCCATTTCTTATCCTTCTGATCTGAGACTTAAACTGATCTGGGAAGGGGCATTTCAGGCATGTGTGTTGTTTTTCTCTACCTTTCCTTCAGGCGGGTAAGATACGAGCACTGAGGTGAGAGTCTGTGGCTGTTGTTAACGTTAGCCAGTTCCGACCGGCTAATGGCCGGAGTTGGTCCCTGGACTCAGTCCACAGGTGGCAGAAGGGAGCCTGTGTAGGCCTTGCCTGACACATTGAAAAACCGTGCAGGGGGGGAATTTGCTGTTAGTCCCTAGTTGGCTTGAGCTCAGTCGGGGAGGTCAAGCTGGGGCAATGTCCTTTTTCATCACCTGGTGGAACACTGCCCAGTGGTACCACTGTGGGTGCTGGGCATGGTGTCAATGTGGGGTGTCATGCCTGCTACAGAGCTAACACTTCCTGAGGGCGTACTGGTACTTCATTATCCTTCCTGCATTAACTTTGATCATTGCTGTTTTGTTTTGACATGAGGTAGTGGTAATCTACTGCCAGGGGGCTGGTGAGGGTTCTCCAAATGCCCTTGCTCTGAACCGACTAAATTACATCGAAAACATCTAAGAGGTGTTGTTCTTTGTTAAGATATGTAGGATATGTCATTTGATGGCATTTCATACGTTAAGTCTCAGAGCAGAAGGATAAGAAAAGATGGGTTGCTTCATGTGTTTGCCTCCGGACTGGAGTTCTAGAGCACTGCACAATTTTGCAGACTATGGCACCTTTTCCAAGAGTGAAATTAATCTTATTTAATTTTATAACTCAGGAAAAATACAACACCTGTGCCTTCATTGCTTCACTGTTCATTACGGCACACCCTGCCTGGGCGGGGATGATGGACCATCAGACAGATGCCTCCTGGCTCCCAGTTTCCCTCTGCGTTCCTTCTTCCACCTCATGCTCAGGACCTCCCACTTCTACAGAAGCCACACTCTGGCCTTGTCTTGATTTGCAGTCCCTACACTTGTTTTCTGCTCAGTTGGAACATTTTCATCTATGAGAGCATGGAGTCAATGGGACTCTAAATACAGAGACTTTGTGAAATATGTTGCATCCTAAAATTTTTTCTTCCTCTTTGTGAAATCTTCACCACATATTCACAGACACACTGCTTTAGAAGACGAGGCCTCTTTCATTCTTTCATGACCCCTTCCTTTACTAGGACTCCAATAGCTTCTACACCTTCAATATCTTCTGTCTGACACCTCTGCCCGCTTAAATCTGCGGCCTCTCCCCCACTCACCACTTCTCAGAAAAGAAGCCAGATTTAATGATCTGTTGTCTTCACATTAAAGTTTTCCTGACTTTGATTGTTTTGTGCTTCTCTGAGTTCATTGAATTTTCTTTGATCACCTGGCATTCAAGTTAGCCACCCACGTTTTAGCCCACTTTTGCTTCCTCCATTTCTGTTTGGTTTCTTGCTATGTGGATTCTGTCTCTTCTTTAGTTGAAACTGTCCCACCCTCACCCCCTGCCAAGTTGGATTGTTGACTGTTCACTAAAACCATTGCACTGCCTCATTGGGATGCAATTGACCAGGTCCCTTTTTAAAAAGTGTTATTTTTATATTTCAGCCTAACTCCATCTCCATTTTTGCTTGGCAAGCTATCTTTGATTTCCTTCTCATCTTTGTGTGGTGACGTTTTCAATTGCAGCTTTCTAAACAAACAAATACATGTAGTTTTCTTTAGCTCCTTCTCTCTCTTTCGATTCTCATGCTTTCCCCTGGTGAATTTAACCACACCTGTGACTTAACCCTTCCAAACATTGGATGCAGCCTCTGACTTTTTTTTTTCTGAGCATCCAGTCTGGATTTTCAACGGTCTGTTGCTTTTCCTTAAGTAATTCTTAGCATCTTAAACCCAACATGTACAAAAATAAATGATTATTTTCTCCTCTAAACAAAATTCTTCTGTCGATCATCAAATCGAACAAAGTGGCATTACAACCTTCAGCTTCGTGTATTCTCCGTCTCGAGTGAATTCATGTTTCTTTGCTTTCTGTTTCCCCAAAGTTTGCAGATTAGAACAACAATCCTTTTATTTCAATTCACATTTTGGGCATCAGGCATTTGGGCGGGCCTCAAACTGGGCGACTCATTTGCTCTCATACTTTCTGGAGTCACTCAGTGGCTTTCACATATACTCACATATAAGGTACCTTGGTGAGGGGATGGCTGGAAAGCTGGGCTTAGCAGGTAGTGTCCTACTAATGTACCTGGGGTCTCAGTGCCCAGAGAACATGTTCTAAGAGATAGAAAGTGGAAACTGCCAGTCTTAGGGCTGGGGCTTGGAAACCAGCACACCATCCATTCTGTGGCATTCAATTAAGCCAATCCAGATTCAAGAGAGGGGTCATAGTTGGACCTTGTGAGGGAAGTTCAAAATCTCTGTGTCCCTCTTTAACTTTCTCTAACACATCGCTTTAAATATTTGCCTGAATTTTTATTCCCATTAACACCATCTGAAGTCACAGCTTCATTTATTTCTCTTCTGAACAATTGCAGTGGCTTCAGATGAACCTCTCCACCTCTGTGCTCCTTTCTCCCAATTGCTCATGTACACCATTGTAAGAATAATTTCATTAATGCTTCTTCTAATGTAATATTAATATGCTATGGTAGCTTGTTGCCTAAAAATAGAGAACTTAGACCTTAGTATAGTTTGCCTTCCAAATGTTAACCCAACCTACTCTGTAAGCTGCTTCCCACTATGTCTCCCTTTATATCCCCTGGTGTTGGGGTCAAGTACAGTAAACCGTCCTCAAAACACAGTGCCTACTCCTTCCTCTTGTCCCTCCAGGGCCTCTTTTTATCCTCTTCCCTTGGCCTGGGATGTACTTCCAGAAACCTCCATCTGTTGAAATCCTCTTTATACTCCAGTATTAAACTCAAACATGAGCCCCTCCACGAACACACCCTTGATCCCTCTAAATAGCAGCCGGACACTCTCACAACTCCCACCTCACTCCTGCTTCTTTTGAAAATAGTTTTCTAACAACCAGCACTGCAGTTATTTTTGCAAGCCTATCTCATTTTAAAGCTTATTAATCTTTTAAATTATTCATAATCTCTCAAGTATCAACACTTCCAGCATAGTAATTTCATCTCACCCAGTGGGTGCTCAATGTAGATTTCATTTGATTTATACCTGGTGTCTAGCCAGAAACTTTGCAGGCAGGTCATCTATTAATTTCAAAGGATGAATTCACCAAATATGGGCAATTTTTAAGAGTCGGGTGTCATATCAGCTTATTCATAGATGACAGTGGTGATAACCTGACTAAATGGGGTCTTTTGAATATGAAATAAGAAGGGCTGGGTTCTTAGGGCTTCCACAGGTAGAGCTGTGTTTGCATGAGGAGATGAAGATGATGTTCCAAAGGAAATCCAATCCATGATCACAGTCCTTAAATGAAATTCCTTAGGGGTGCCTGCGATATCTCGGTAGTGCTCACACTTGAACATTTTCCTTTGATAATAAATGCTTTATGTTATAGAATTATTGTGAGAAAAAGAGGTTCTTATTGAGATACACACACACTGACATGTCAGCTAGAAAATCGCCCCCTCGGGTCTAAGCCCTCGAAGCTCTTTTTATTTTATTTTATGTGTTTTTAAGGGTAGTGACAGGACATTACGAAAAGACCACCACCCGAAAACCTGAACTTGTTCTCATCCCATTGTTGTCCTTTGTGTGTTTTAGGCACGTTTCCCACATGACGGGAAGGCGAGCTTCTGGTTAGAAGGCAACTGCACAGAGTCAGACCCTCCTGCCCACCATGAAGGGAACCTGTGTCATCGCGTGGCTCTTCTCCAGCCTGGGCTGGTGGAGACTCGCCCAGCCTGAAACAGACGCCTCTCAGTGCCAGAGAGCAGAGCACCCGGTCATTTCCTATAAAGGTAAGGGGCAAGCACGCTTTGATGCCAAGGCACCACTTAAACGCACTTTCCATGCTAGTGATGGAGAATAGCAGTGCTTATTGCTCTATTATTCTACGACCCTTGTTTTAGACACTGTTTAAAATAGGAGCAAAGTTGCAAAAACTTTCATCCAGAAATAGATCACTATCGGAAGAAGAATCCGTAACTGGGGTTCTTACAGATAAGAAAGTTTCAGTGTTGACTCCCTCTTTATTTAACAGGTGCTAGAAGCATAATAGGCATTTGAACCAGGGGATAAACATGTGACCCACAGAAATAACACCGAAGAGCAAGGAAAACAGCCCTGGTCAGATGGCTCAGTTGGTTAAGAGTGTCATCCATCCCGTGCACCAAAAGGTTGCGGGTTCAATTCCTGGTTGGCACTGTATGCCTACAGGTGGCAACCAATTGCTGTTTCTCTCTCTCTCTGCATCCCCCTTCCTCCCTCCCTCCTTTTTCCTCACTTTTTAAAATCAATAAACATACCCTCAGGTGAGAATAAAAGAGAAGAAAACAAAAATTTCTTTACTTCAGCATTTCCCAGCAAACCCTTATTCTTGCCATGAAGTATGATTTTGCCTCTCTCTGGCACTGCATGGCAGACAGAATTAGTTTAATGTCTCTGGTGTCTCCACGGATCTATAGGATTAATGAATTAGTATGTATATTCATTCATTTATGATTTTATTAATCCAAGTTTATTTGTGGTTTTGTTACCCTTGGCACTCAGTGTTCAGGAAAAAAAATAAATGCCTTTGTTTTTGTCACATTGAACTCAGTTATATTATCAAGCTAACCGTAATTATTCAGTCATTGTATTTTAATAATCCACCCAATAGTTTTATGCTCGAAATGTTTTTAATTTATTGATTTGAAAGAGGGAGACAGACGCCGATCTGTTGCTCTGTCCATCCATACACCCACTGGTTTTCTCCTGCACGTGCCCCGACCAGGGCTCGAACCCGAAACCATGGCGCATTGAGATGACAGTTCAACTACCTGAGCTACCTGGCCAGAGCCAACAGTTTTATGCTTTGTTACTTTTTAAACTTCCTATCATGAAAAATTTCAAATATGTACAGAAATTGAAAAAATAAAGTGTTTAAGGAACTCCCAGACCCTGCATTTATTAATTGATGGCCCACCTTTTTTTCTGTTAAACCCCCACTCATGGTCTACCCCACACCCACCAAATTATTCTGAAGCTACTTGAAAAGATTTTATCTATACTATTTCAATTTATGACTATCAAAGAGAGAGAATTCACAATACCACTGTCACATCAAACAGGCAAAATTCCAAAGAAAAAATAATTCTGTCACTGCACCAGACATTTGGTGAGTATTGTGAGACCTTGGATGGTCTCACAGATGCTTACACATTTGAGTAATGGGTGGACTGAACGTCAGTGGAGTTCCCATGCTGCAACTGGAGGTGTATCTCTTGAGTCTTTTTAATCTTTTACTGTTTTTTTGTTGTTGCTCCTTTTGCAAATCAATTATTAAAAAAAAACTAAGTTCTTTGTACTATAGAATTTCCCACGGCCTAGATTTTGCCAAGTGCATCTTATTGGTTTTGTTCAAATGTTCTTCTGTCTTGAATGTGTCTGTAAATATGTAGTTATATCAAGAGGCTGCTTGTGTGCCTGACTCCCCTTCCTCCCATTGATCTGATAACCACCTATTCTGGCTGATTTTGCGTGGAGGGTCTCAGCTAGGGGTTTTGAACTAAATTTGAAAAACATGCACCATCAAGTTCTTCTAGGTAGTTCCAGATCATTTCCAGGGCTGTGGGTTTTCTGAACCTCTTTGTCTTGTGTCTGCATCATTCCTGAGTACACAGAATCCTAAGTCTCTGCAGGTCAATATAATATTCCTTTGCCTGACATAGACACACATTCATTTCAGAAGACTGGTTTCATGCAACTCGGGTCATTTTTAACTACCGAAAACTCTGTTAGATGATTTTCTTCTCTTAGTTGTCAGGTATAAATTTCACTGGGAAGTGAAAGCAAAATTACTGCCTTGAAATCACTTGAAATAATTTCCTCTTATACGGTTATGCCAACTCAAATCCCAGTTACTTTTGTTGAATTTTGCTTTTAGTTTTTAGAGATTTTAAAAATTTGCATTACATTATTATGTATTGCTTCAAAGTCAAATTCATGAGACAAGGGTATTCAAGGAAACTAGCTTTCCTCCCTCTTTTCTTTCCCTTGTTTACTCTCTCTGCTTCTAGCTAACCTTTTACTTATAGTTTATGGTTCATGCTTCTTTTTAAATACAAATACACACGCAATATTCTTTCCCCCCTTTCTTAGATAAAAGGTTACGGACATAAAAACTTTTCTCTATGTAGAATTTTTTGACATAATGATGTATCCTGGAGGCTGCTCTCTAGTTAGTATAGATTTATGTCATTTCTTTTTATAGCCACATAGTGCTCTTCTATGTGATGAACATAGTTTAGGTTATTTTCTGTCACTTCTGAGCAGTGATACTATTGCAATGAGTAGCATGTCTTGCAAACAACTTTTCATATTTTTGCAAGCGTACCATTGGGAGACATTCCTAGAATTGGGATTACTGGGTCAAAAGGTAAATGTATGTGTGGTTTGCTAGATCTTGCCCAGTTTCCACTCACGGAGGCTGTGTCATGTTCCATTCTCATTTCCCTGGATACAAGTATCTGTTTCCCTCCAATCTTCTCGGCAGAGTATACTGTTAGGTTTTGCAATTTGGGCTGACCTTATAGTTCATGAATAGAATCTCAGCTTATGTTTAATTTGTATGTTTTTAATTAGGAGTGACTGCAACAACAGATATTTCATTGGAGCCTGTTATGGACCAGTGTCTGTGTTAAATGTTGAGGAGATAGAGGCAGAAAATATAGTCTCTGTTAGGATTTTAGAATACCTTTAGGAATGTAAACCAAAAGGATCACTGTATTACATTTTACTAAGGGTCCTAATGGGTGTCATTGCTGGAGGCTGTGGGGTCCTAGGACAGGGGCATCTGAACCAGACAGCCCAGGCTGAAGGAATGTGGTTAAGGAAGGTTTCCAGGATGAGGCCACGCCAGAGCTGAGTCCCAGATGGTGGTCAGAAGGTGTTTGTGAATCTCATGAAGTGGGAGGAGTTGGGGGGGGGGAGAAGCAATGCACTGGTACTGAAGGGAGGGAGGGAAGCATGCAAGCTTCATGCAAGAAGTATTCTGCAAGCATCATGTACAGTGAGTCATGAAATCCTAGTCTAAGTCCCAGAGAGGACATGGAGAGAGGTGAGGCTAAAGTGGTCGATGGGGTTCCATAATGTAAGGTGTTGGAAGGCATTTTGAAAAGCGCCCCGTGTATCTGGACGGGCTCAGCCTGGAGGGTGGCAGCGCGGTGGCAGGGAGACCCCATTCTGAGGCCGCTTCTGTGGTCAGAGGGAGCAGTAATGAGGAGCTGGGCTGAGGGAGCGGTAGCAGAAATGGGAAGAATTGGGTGGACTCTAGGGATTGGAAGGCTTTTTTTAAATTGATGATTTAATAAATATAGGGGGAGAAGGAAGCACAGAGAATGATCCCAAGGTTCTTGGCTATTTATTCCATATGGAAGAAAGACGGGGAAGAAGATTTGAGGGATGTGGCGATTTTAGATGGAAAAAACTGAGTTTTTTACCTGCCACCAAGTGGAATTATCTAGTTGAGAGCAAGGCATCATGAGAACCAAGAATGAAGGACTTTTCAAGAGGGAGGCGGCCGTCAGATTATTCAGCGATGCAGAGTGTAAGAAAGATGCAGGCCGGAAGGTGGAGTGATGAACTCATCGGGTGTGCCTTGCTCTGCCCCGATTTCCCACCGAGAGGCCTGTGTTCCGAGAAAGCTGGTACGGAGGGTCACCCTCCCAGAAATTTTGTAAGCAATGGTGTATTAGTTTCCCAGTGCTGCTGTACCAAAGTACCGCAAACCGGGTGGCTGAAGACAACAGAGATAACTGTTAAGGTTCTGCAGGCCAGAAGTCCAAAATCAGGTGTCAGCAGGCGCTTCCTCTGAAGGCTTCAGGGGAGAATCCTTCTTTTCCTCTTGTAGCTTCTAGTGATTCACTGACTACATCCCTTGGCATGTAGATCTCTGGGTCTGTTGTCACAGAGCCTCTCTCTGTGTCTGTGTCTTTCTGTTCTCTCATAATGACACCAGGCATGTTTATTTAGGGCCTACTCTTACACAGCATGACTTTATCTGAACTAATCACATCTGCAGAGGCCCTGTGTCTGAATAAGATCACATTCGCAGGCATCCAAGGTTAGGACTTCCACATACCTTTTGGGAGGACACGACTCAACCCGTAACAAATAGCATTTAGCTGAGCGGGTCTATGGACATGCAGGAGCAGGAAACTAGATGCTGATCAGCGGAGGGATAAGTGTGGGATAAAGAAATAGATATAAAAGGAGAGAATTATTGTCTCAGCCAGCAGGGACATGAGGAGAGGGGATGGCTTTTAAGAGAGCATTACTTAATCATCCTTAAATGGTGATGAGAAGAAGCCAGGTGGAACAAGAGGCTGAAGAGAGGAGGAGAGAAGGAGAAAATTCATTAGGCAAAGTCCTGGGCTGTAGGTGGGAGTAGGAGTAGGACACTGGGCACAGCGAGGGGGGTGTGTAGGGAGGATTAGCTCACAGGAAGCAGACTCCACCTCCAGTGAGGGAGGGAGGGTGGTCGGGGCACCCAGGATGCAGGGAAGTGAGGTAGTTCCTGAGAACCTCCGTCCCAGCTGAGGAGTAAGCAGGCTGAGGGCCAAGAATGTGGGGGTTTCAGGAAGGAAGTGCTTCTCTGAAGGGATAAAACTTGGGCCAAACACACACACAAAGGTTCCCTGTGGATGCTAACAGCCCAGGCTGTCCTTGAAGTGGCTCTTGTCACAGCTGAGCGAGTGGGCACCACTAACCTACATGTCCACTTTTCTCTAGCACAGGACTCCAGGAGAGTTTGAGAAAG